ATGCCTCTAAGAAAAGAGGCTGTGCTTGGTTCTGTGACAGGAGGCAAAATGCTACAGAGTGTGCTGTTGGAGATTTTAGATCTTAAGGCTAGATTTCTGAGATGCTGAGAGCCTGAGGCAGGCAGTGTTAGACTTTTGATTGGAGAGGGCATCAAACCAAGGAGATTGACCTTAAATGTGGCTCTCATTCTTTTGGCCAGTTCACCATTGTGGCATTTTAACCCCTTACTGACCCACTACTTTACTAAAAAGAAGCTAAATATTTTATAATTAACAGGCACTGTACAGTTTACCACAACATACTAAAGCATATGCTGCATTTTAGGGCTGAATGAGCTGTACCAAGAGAGTGGACATGCTTAGAAAGAAAGGAAAAATGCACAGAATTTAGTTTTTTCTGTTACTCCAGTGTCTATCCACATGTTTAGTTTAAGGCTTTTTAACAACAGCATCACACTTGAGATGAGAGAGAAGGCAGAGGTAGAAGGTTAATATCAAATGCCTGCATGTTTTTGATTGTTGGTTTGTACAAATAAAAGGATGTCCCTCAGGCTGCACACTTGCCTGTAAACCTTAACCATAGAAATTATAGGAAATAAAATGATAAAGTGCAACTCAGTCCTCACCACATCTCTTTCTATAAACTGAATTTACATCTATGCCAAGCAACATAAATCTTGTCTTATGTATCATTAATATACATGGGTGTCAATAGGAGAAGCATGAGTAGAGGGAATATGGTTCTTCCCAATAGAGACAGAGTTGAAAAATGAGCTGCAGATAGTGTGAGAATAGAGCCTTCCCTAGTAAAGCTACAGACAAGCTTCCAAAGCTCTGCTGCCCCCCAGTGGTGACTAGATAATGTTGTGTGTGTGTGCATGTATGACCCTAGGACCCAAAGTAAAATCTTGTGATAGAGTATATTAAGATTTACCCACCCAGAACTTCCTAATAGTTAGTCTCATTTATGCAAAGACATTATAATTATCATAAGGTTTTTCTAAAGCTTTGCTAAAGTTTGATGACGCTGTCATGATTTTATCTTATTTGGCTTGTAATATTAAATGATTAACCTAAAGCCTGTGTGTGACAGATTTTGAAAGATGTGTTTACCAGATGGAATGTGTCTAAAGAAAGACACTAGTGAGTTGAATTATGGGACATGTAGGATGTTTGTAGAGCTTGGGCCATACACTGAACTAAATGTAAGGTTATATCAACCTGCCCTGCTTTTTGATTTTTTTTTTATTAATATGTTTGAAAGCACAATGCTTAGACATATGCATTAAACTATTCTTTACAGTAAACAAGATAGCGTTCCCAAAGTGAGGATTCCCATATTATCAAAAGTATATATACATTAATTGGCTGGCAGGTGTCAACCAATTATATCAGGACATTTCTAGCAGGCATTTAGTTATTCCATTAACTCACTGACAAAATTAGCCTAGTCTGGTTCTAAATGCTAAACAATAAAAGCTCACAAAATGGATAATAATTTGAAAACATCCTGCCTTTTTTCTTTGACAGTTTGTGTAAGTGACATAATGCATGCTGAAGTGTTCAGCTACAAACAAAGCCATTTTGTATCTTCACCTCATCCGTTCTTTTAATATGTGAGAACACCTCATCAAGCATTATTTCTTATGTAATCTGGAGGTCACGATTTGACCATGTGAATCATGTCCATTTGCAGTGTACACCTACTGTTGTCTGCCTTTTCCTCGAGTTGTTTCTTCTTCTTCTTCTTCTTCTTCTTTTGCATTCCTGGTCACATCCCTGCATGATATACTTAATCAGCATGAAATGATCTTATGTGTTGACCTAACAGCTTGCTCAATTTCTTCACGTGGCGTCCGAGTCTTTATGCTGCTGCCTACATCTGTGTTTGGTTTGGAGCTCTCTCCTGGTCTTGTCATTTTCTGCTGTTTATAAGGAGATGCTCATTTGGATAGCTCGTAGAGGACAGTGCCATGGCTGTCGTTCTGATAGCTATCCAAGTCCTTGATCTTCTTTCCCTGTAAACATCATTACCACACAGTGATAACATACACATTCACAACAGGCCTGCAGACACCCACAAGCTGCTCATCCAAAACGGCACTAACAGATTAACAGTGATTATAAACAAACATGAAGGATTAATCCTGTGTGCTCTCAGTCTACTTTTCCAGTAAGCTAGCCAGGGTAATTACCAAGTGCTAGATTGTTAGTGTAATCACACACAAACACACTTACTGTCTTGCGTCATTACTTAGTGATATTCTGTGCTCATTTTGTAAACATCTTGTAAGATGTACAATATTTTGCGAAGGAACTGCAAGACCACTGAAGTGAATGTACAGACAGTGAGATTGTTTGGCACAGCTTAGCTTGTTCAAAACTCAAATGCTTGTTTGTGATAGCTGTTGAGGAAATAAAGAAATATGGAAACATTTGCGGATAATGGCATTGGAAGTTGAATGAAGGTTTTTAGTAGGGTGCCAACTGACTTCTGCTGCTGACGCTGTGTGTATTTCATTCTACTATATTCTTTTACTAGCCAATCTGTTTGTTTGTTTTTACCACACACAGTATGTAAATCCATTTTAAATTCTAAACATGATACGTGCCTAAGCTGTATCAGTAGGTTTGAAAACTTACCAGGTAACTTCTGTTAAGATAAGATAGAAGCTTTGTCATTTGTACTGTGGCTACACAATGAAATGATTGTGGTGGGGACCTCTGATGACATTGCAGGTCCACTGCAGATTCTCTGGTTGTAGCACTGAGGGCAGGTCTTTCTCTGTAGGGCTCTGGGCTGCCTTTACTACCTGCTGCAGTGCTTCTTTTTCCTGTCCACTGCAGCTGCTAAACCACTCTACTGTGCAACAAGTTAGTGTCCTCTCTACAGCACAACTCTAGAAGCTACTGAGGATTGATGGTGACATGTCACACTTCCTCAGCCTTCCTAATCAGTTGTGCCATATTGTACACCCAGCTTAGAACCTCACTGATGTGTACACCCAAAAACATGAAACTTCCCACCATCTCCACCTCAGAGTCTTCAATCAGCTGGGGGTTGATGATGATGTTTGCCTCGCCTTGTGTCCACAACCATCTCCTTGTTCTTGCTGAAGGTCAGTGTGCGATTGTTAGCATCACGCCATGTCACCAGGTCTGACACCTACTTCCTGTAGGCCACCTGATCATCACCAGTGATCAAACCAATGAAGGAATGTTGCATCAGCTGTAACTTTGAGGTTGTTATCTGGCATGGGCAACAATACAGTTGTGTATACAGGGTGAACAGTAATGGGCTGAGTGCACAGCCTTTGGGAGTGTCTGTGGTCATGATGATATACAGGGTGAACAGTAATGGGCTGAGTACACAGCCTTTAGGAGTGCCTGTGGTCATGATGACGTGCTGGAATGGTTTTTGCCTAGCCAAACCAAGTAGGGCCTACCAATAATTCATTTTCATTCCAGTTTATTTGTATAACACCAAATCACAACCAAAAAAATCATCTCTAGGTACTTTAAATTGTTAGGTCTCAGCCTTAAAGTATTATAGAGAAAAACCCCAACAAATCCTCCTTGAGCAAGAATCTGGCAACAGTGGGGAGGAAAAACTCCATTTAATGAAAGAAACCTCTGATAGGACCAGGTTCATGGTGGGCAACCAGCACAAGCTGGGGTGAGTAGACAGAGGAGAGAGAAAAGAAGAGCATTAAGAAACAGCAAAGGAAACTAAGAAAATCCATCATCTAGTTGCACAGTGCAGGAGTGAGGCTAAGGTTGTCCAGCTTGGCCATGAGCATGGAGGGAAGGATTGTATTGAAAGTAGAGCTAGAACCAGTGAAGAGAATTCTGGCATAGTTGTCCTGTATTTTCCAGATGAGTTAGGACTGTGTACATGGCTAGTAAGATGGTGTCGGCTTTAGATCTATTCATCCAAAGGCAAACTGTAATGGGTCTAGAGTTGCTGGGATGATGCTCAGTATGGGATTTTTGACCAATTTCTCTAAATACTGTGTGAGTAGTGGAGTGAGAGCTGCTGGTCTCTAATCAGAGATTAGATGGGACTGTACTGATTTCCTGGGAACACAGATGGTCATAGTGGCTTTAATGCAGGGTGGAACCATGGTCAGGGCGACAGGAAAGGCTGAGGACTAGTATGGTAGCAACAGTCATCAGCTTTGAAGCACACAGCCTGAAGACGTGTCCTAAGATGTTATGAGTCCTCCCACCTTGCATGTGTTTAGCTTTTTCAACAACCTATTCGGCTGTGTGGGGGTCAGTACAAGTACCTGGTCCTCCCCATCAGGTGCCTTTTCTGTTTTTGTCCAGGAATCTATTTTCTGGGCTTCAGATCATGCATAAAAGATGTTCCACTCATCCATAAGAGATATAGAACTGCTCACTTCCTCTGCCTTTGTAGTCTGTGGCCTGTTTGTCATGTCACCGCTTCCCATTCAAATATTACTTTATTGTTTAGCTCCAGTGTTGCATTTTACACCTGCAGCTGGTCTCCTAATTTAAACAATATATAACTTTATTCTGTCTCCATTTTGACAGCGTTGTGTTGCCTCAGGGTGCATAGCCTCTGGGTACATGACCTACTGTACACAAAGATGATGGTGAGGCTGCTCTTCTCAGTGTTTTCCTCTGTAGTGAGATTTTAATCTGTTTCACTAATGAGGCAGAGTGTTTACAGCCTCATCAGACATACAGTATATACTGCAAATGTCACAGAGGATTTTGCAAATCATTTTCTGCATTATGGATAAAGTTTGTTCCTCCACCACAGTGGCATCTGTATAACAGATGTATATCTTTTGTTCAGTGCCTCCTGGATTTGGCAGCATGTGTTACAAAAAACAATACAGTATAAGATATTGTGCTCAGTGTTTTAGCACTACCACTCTTCTGTGACGTACAGATGGCACAAAAAAGATGTGTACATCTCTTTATTACTGGGTTTGCATTTTGACCACAGGTGTGTTTCTTTCTTTTCACAGGTTGAGGCCATCCTGATCAACATTTTCGGTGGGATTGTCAACTGTGCCATCATTGCTAACGGCATCACTAAGGCCTGTCGAGAGCTGGAGCTAAAGGTGCCACTGGTAGTCAGGCTTGAAGGTAGGAAAACAGCACTTCAAATGCATACACACAAAGAAGTCTACAGTGGGTTTGGCTTCTCTGACCCTCATAGCAAGCACGTCCCAGCTAACACACTTAATCAGTGTGCACCATGCATCATCCCCCTCAGAATCACAGACCATTGATCTTCATCTAGCCTGTATTGAAAGCACTTGACCATAATGAGCATTTCATGATGCTGACTAATGCCACTAGCCTTACATCTTACAATATGCAACCAAGTTCACACCTCCACCACTGGTCACTTATCTTGATGACTTATTTAACTTGAAGTCTGAGGACATCTTGAGGCTGAGATAACCAGCAACCCTAGCACCAGCACAGGCATCATACAATCAGCCAATCTCTGATTCCTCTAACTCCAGCTCAGTGGAAGTAGATTATCATTACCTTGACATGATGTCCCTGATTTTTATCTAAGTGTTTTAACAATACCACAGACAGTTATACATAAATGTTTTGCTAAAATAATGTTTTCAAATGCAGTATTGTGAATGTTGGATGTAAAATTCACTCTATGCAGTCAAAGTTGATCAATTGAAGTAGTACTTTTATTTGCCATGGCTTCAAAAGAGCCTTTTGCTGTATCTGGTTTTATCACTGTGACCTTCCCGCACTATAGCCACACTCCATGCAGCTAGTAGCTACAGTATATGTTCCATAAAATGAAACCTACAAATACCAGCCGATAATGACCAATAATGTAGCTAGTTATGTCCAATTTTAAATGCGCTCATTCACTGTTTTGAAGTGATAAATGTATACAGTATATTACCACTTTAGTGTAATTGTTAGACAGCAGGATTTAAAGCACCTCTTCCCCGCTTCACTCTAAACTCTGGAGCCATTGTATTGTTGCTGCCGTTCTCTCGGGACCCTATCTATCTTCATTGTGGCCCAGTGGCCCAGTAAGAACAGCAGTGCATTTGTCACACTGTGCCGTACCTGTCATTACCAGCAGCCAGAATAACAGTACAGACAGCACTGATTGGCTCACCTTTCACCTGTATATGCTAATGAAACCTGTTCAGCTGGGTGTGTGTGAGTGATTATGTGTGTGTGAGATGGCAGCGATGGCAGCTCGAGGCAGAGGGCCAGTTTGTGGTCAGTTTAATTGTCAAGATCCTGCTAAGTAGCGTGTCTAGAGCACAGAGAAGGTGAGTATATGTGTACTGTATGTCCTCACACACTGTAATATGATTAGTAGGCCAGGGCATGTAAACTGTTTCTAGAACAGAGGCACTGTAGTACAGTATGGACACAAAGTTTTGTCCTCAGTCAAATGTGACCTGTTCATACATGAGACTGGGACAGTGACCCACACACTGTTTTCTTGGTCCTTGGTCTTTACTTTTTATAAAACCCAAAAACAAGTGTGGGTGGTTGTGTGTTTTAATATATATATATATACAACCTGGGGTGAACATACAGTAAATGTGCTTTATTGATTGACTGACTGATTGGAATCAGTTGACCAGAAGGGTACATATATTCTACAGTATGTGTGTGTGTATACAGTAATTCTGCATAGAATAGACTGAATTTTTTTTTTAATATTAAATACCGAGCATGTTAAGGGCACTGGAACATGAAAAGTGAAAATGTTATAGGGTGTTGCTGTGTCAAAACCGCAAAACAATCATGAGAATTACAAAAAGAGCTGTAAATAAGATAGCTATGTTCTTTTTTTTATTTATTTTTTTTATCCAGCACCTGCAAAAATGTATGGATGCGTATGTGCCTCCTGATGATTGACAGTGGTGAACTTCTTTTGTTTTAACTACTTTCCCTTTAAATGATTTTGATGCAGGTGTAAATTGTGTGGATTTAAATCATTTTGCACCTGAACCAAAACTGCAGTTATAACAAGGACAGACATGTGGTTTTAAGCTGAAATCCCACAAACTACCCCTGCAAACAAAGTTACAAAAGAAACATTGGTGCCAGTATAAATACTCACAGTGCAAGATATGCATCTTTGTGATTTATATCCACCATCTGTTTCTGTGTTGCTGATTGAGCGCACAGTTAAACACGCAGTACATTTAAGTTTCCCCTGCAGTTAAAGATTGAGAATATAGCTGCTGAAATGTCATTGTAGAAGCGATTAGATTGGTAATCAAACAGAACCTTCAATAGTCACCATACATTTCTTATACCCAACCATGTGGGCTAATTCAGCCTCACTAACAGGAGTCAAAAAGGTCACTGCTGGTGGTTGGTCAACCATGTTTTCCTGCAGTGGGTCATTACTTCCTGGGTTGCAGCCTTGTGGAGAGGATTCAGAATCAATCAGCTCAGCTTGC